CCCCCCCCCCCACCCCTACAGCTAAAAAATAAAAATAAAAAATAAAAATATAAAGCAGGATATCAAATATCTCACCAATTCCCTCCTAATGCTATTGCTAGCATCCTGATGCTGTTGCCCTACTTGGCACCCTGACTGATACACCCAATGTATCAGCATGTGAACATCATTTCAGTATCCTGCAAAGTTAATGGAGGAGCAGCAAAACTGGTTTGAGAGAAGCACAGTGTGTTCTCACAGGAAAAAAGAAAACATGCCCAGAATGCATCACCTCGCCCAAATCTGGCCTGCTGTAGTACAGAATAATGTGGGAGGAAGGCAACCATGAGCAAGCACTAAATTTTGGCATCACAGGCAAGCCAACCCCTGTAAATAGTCAAACTCTTCATGGTAAAGACCCAGGGCTAGCTTCACAAAGCTGTTAAAGCTCACAAGTGCCTCTTCAGATGTCTGAGTTTCACATCTGTTTGCCACCGTTTGCTCAATTGTTTAGGGGGGGCTGTGCACGACACAGGGGTTAAATTCTCCCTACAGTGAAGCAGTGTTTTTTGAAAAACACCACTTCAATTTAGGGTGTAGTAAACCCCCGTGTCATGTACACCCATGTCAGAGCCCAATCCTTACCTGCCTCTCCAGCAGTGGGGAGGAAAGAGCAAACTGCTGGAGGGCAAAGCAGTCTCTGAACTGTGGTGGGTGGGGTGGGGGGGAACGAGGAGACTGGTGCCTCCCTCTGTGGCAGCGGCAGCCCCCCCCAGGCAGCACCCACATGCAGGCACCCACCTGGCTTGGGGAGTCCTGGGGAGGGGGGCACCACAGCTCCAGAGGGAAGCACCAGGCCCCCGCACAGCTCATGCAGGCAGGCAGGCAGGCTCCGGGGGTGGGGCTGGAAATCAGGCTAGCCAGTTTTTTTTTCTCTTTCTGTGGAGCCTGCCTTCCCAGGCTGCTGCCAGGTTGCCTGAATGGTCTGCCTGCACAGTCCCTGAGCCGCATGGAGCCCAGTGCTTTCCTCCACAGCTGTAGGGTAGGAAAGTAAAACTCCTCAGAGGTGTTTTACTTTGCAGTGCCCCAAAGTCAGTTGCTGCATCCCGAAGTCAGTTAAGGC